CCCCGACTCCCAGCGAGACTGAGGCCCCCCATTCTCCCCTCACTCTCCACAGGAGTGAGTCCCCCATTCTCCCCTCACTCTCCACAGAAGTGCGCCCCCATTCTCCCCCCACCCCACTCCCAGAGTCGCGGATGAAATTTAATTTCAATGAATCGAATCTGGAATCGGAAGCTAATCTTGGGGGTGGTGACCATGACGACCGTCATCAACTCGGTGGGGGGGGGGGGGGGGGGGGAAAACCCCCCATCGGGGGTCACCAGTGGGGGGGAAGGAAATCTGTCATCCTTACACGGTCTGGGCCTACACGTGACTCCAGACCCCACACAGCAATGGGGTTTGATTCTTAACTGCCCTCCGAAACAGCCCCAAGGGGCAATTAAGGACGGGGCAACAGCTGCCAACCTTACCCACATCCTTCCAATGGATTAATGAAAAGAATATTCTTTGCGAAAATGTTTTCACTGGCTTTGTCCCAACTGCACCCCCTGCAGTGAGAGACTGTGTGTGGAGATACGGTGCGAGAAAGTTGGGTGCTTCGAGGCCAGGCTTGTTGGTTATCTTCCCATTACACACCGTTACAGTCACAAATTCAGAGTGTATCGGAAAGCTCTTGACTTCCCTGGATGGCTTCAGCTCCAATGATGCTCAGGATTAAGGGGGATTTACTCGTGGGATTGCCATAGGGACCAATGCTGGGGGCCACCACCATTTACAATATATTCGTGATCTGATTTGGTTTGATTGTCACATGTACCTAGGTACAGTGAAAAGTTTTGTTTTGCATGCAGTACAAGCAGATCCTACCATACAAAGTGCATTAGGGTGATAGAACAGAGCGAGGAATACAATGTTACCGATGCAGAGAAGGTCCACAAAGAGCGAGATCAACATTAAATTTAAAATTTGAGAATTCCGTTCAGAAGTCTAATAACAGCAGGGAATTCTTGAATCTGTTGGTCCATGTGTTTAAGCTTCTGTATCTTGTGCCCGCTGGAAGAGGTTGGAAAAGATTATAACCAGGTTGGGAGGGTGTTTGATGATGTTGGCCACTTTCCCAAGGCAACAGGAAGTGTAGATGGTGTCAACGGATAGAGGGTTGGCTTGCATAATGGGCTGGGCTGTGTTCACATCTCTCTGCAGTTTCTTACAGTCCTGGGCTGAGCAGTTGCCATACCAGACTGTGACATATCCAGATAGAATGCTTTCTGCAATGCACCTATAAAAACTGGTATGAGTCTTTACCGACTTGCTGAACTTCCTAGCCTCCTGAGGAAGTAGAGACGTTGTTGTGCTTTCTTGCATACGTGTGGGTGGACCAGGACAGATCATTGGTGATCGTCACTCCTAGGATCTTCAAGGACTTGAATGGGTAAAGTCCAGTAAAGCTTCTATTAGCCAGGACCAGGAGTGTGCTGACTGATCAAATATTCTGGATAATCCAGAGGTCCACATAATCGATGCTAAAACACACTTGAAGTAATAGAAACGCAACACAGGGGGTATACACCACACTGCCATACTTCACTCACAGCGTAAGTCACTTAAATAATAAAACAATTTTGCCTTAAATAAAACTTAAAGGCAGTAACAAAAACACAGAAGTTGCTGGAAAAGCTCAGCAGGCCTGGCAGCATCTGTGAAGAAAAAGAATCAGAGTTAACGTTTTGGGTCCGGTGACCCTTCCTCAGAACTGCAGTAAGCCTTCTCACTCACACCCTCAACTGACTACTCAGATGTCGCAGTATTTGAGGAGACGTTGACTTGAAATTGAAGTCAGCCTGGACTTGCGATGTGAGTACATGTGATAACAAAGTCAATTCTAATATTTATTACTTCATTGACAGGATGAGGGCTTCGCTGACCAGGCAGCATTTATTGCCCATCCCTAATTGCCCAGAGGGTAGTTAAGAGTCAACCACATTGCTGTGGGTCTGGAGTCACATGTAGGCCAGACCAGGTAAGGATGGCAGTTTCCTTCCCTAAAGGACATTAGACAGGCTCCTTAGACAGCACTTTCCAAACCCGGGACCTCTACCCCACTGGAAGGACAAGGGGCAGCAGGTACAGGGGAACACCAACCCCCTGCAAGTTCCCCTCCGAGCACCCCACAGCCCGATGTGGAAGTATATTGGCCGTTCCTTCAGGGTCAAAATCCTGGAAGGTCCCTCCCTAACGGCTCTGTGTGGAGTGTCCCGACACTACACTGAGGGAGCTACAGTGATTCAAGACGGCAGCTCACCCCCACCTTCTCAAGGAGTGCAATTAGGGATGCAGCTAGAGACACCCACATCCTAAAACACCCCCCTAAACAAGGTACTGCCTGCTGTGACAATCAGCACTGGCAGTAAGAGGTACAGCTGACAGTATAACTCCGAGCCAACGCTGAATGATAGGAGCTTGCACAGCGATCAGCGAATCTGACTGAAACAGCACCAGGTCTGTTCATATCTCCCAACACCGAGTTGGCATGGTGGGGGCACAGGTGGGGGCACAGGTAGGGGCAGGGGTGACTTGCCAGAGCTGGTCCTGAGGTTTGGAAATTTTCCCAGAGACCGATTATTTTGTGGGACCAAGCAGAGAGTGAGACGAACCTCATGTCCCGAGTCCACAGCTTCGTTGGAGGCTGGGGAGGAGGCTGAGGGTCTGGGCCGGTCAAAACTGAGAGAGGTTGGGGTGGGGTGGGGGGGGGGGGGGGGAGGATGGTGGCACCGTGGTGTGGAGGGATCTGCCTGGTGGGTGGGGAAGGCGGTCGAGGAGGGCAAGGCAAAATAAGCTGGTCATGGGATATAGATAATGGGCATAGAGGAGGTGCAACTGGCAGAACCATCAGTGGGGCGTGGACAGTATAGAAACATTGAGAATTAGTGCAGGACGAGGCCATTCGGCCCCTCCAGCCCGCCCCGCTCTTCAACAGGATCGCAGCCGATCATCCAACTTGGTCCCCTGCTCCCCGCTTTGGTCCCTTTGGCCCTGAGATCTATATCCGACTCAGTGTTCCGGCCCGCTTCCTGATCATAGCACCATAGAACCCCTACAGTGTGGAAACAGGCCCTTCGACCCAACAAGTCCACACTGGCCCTTAGAGCATCTCACCCAGACCCATCCCCATATACCCCACCTAACTTACAAATCCCTGAACACTCCAGACAATTTAGCACGGCCAATCTACCCTAACCTGCACACCTTTGGACTGTGGGAGGAAACTGGAGCACCCGGAGGAAACGCAGATACGGGGGAGAATGTGCAAACTCCACACAGACAGTCAGCCAAGGGTGGAATCGAACACGGGTCCCTGGCACCGTGAGGCAGTATTGCTAACCACTGAGGCACCGTGCCGCCCATTCCTGTGGCAGAGAATCTCACAGGCTCCCCACTCTCTGGGTGAAAACATTTGTCCCCGTCTCAGTCCCACCCCATCTCCTACAGACTGTGACCCCCTCTGGTTCTGGAGTCACCCCCCCAACCCCTGCCAGTCATCGTTCCTGATTTTCCTCCCCCCCCGTCTAGTCCTGTTAGAATGTTATAGGTTTCTATTAGTAACTCCCCCACCCCCCTCATTCTTCTAAACTCCCAGTGACTATAGTCCTAACCAACCCAGTCTCTCTCCCTATGTCAGTCCTGCCACCCCAGGAATCAGTCTTTGTTGCACTCCGGCTGTAGCCAGAGAACACCACCCACCCCCCAATTCCTTGGAGAAGGAGGACAAAGCCATTCACAGTACTTCAGGGGTCTCACAACTGCAGCAAGATATCCAGCTCCTGTACTCCAATCCCGGTCCGAATTAATATCCTTCTCTTCACCCCTTTACGTCCTGGCATGGGACGTGGGCGTCACTGGGGAACCCATCATTTGTTACCCATCTCTGTCCCTAATCGCCCCCTTGAACTGTGTGCCTCGCTCGGGGGCCCAAATCAGACGGCAGTTAAGAGGCCACCCCGTCACTGTGGGGCCTGGAGTCATGTTTATCCTCTTGGCCCGCGCGAGCCTCCAGTCACCCTGGTGACGAATTCCCCGGGATATTCCAGCCGCATCCCCATCTTCCACTGAGGTTTTCCAACCGCATTTGCCGTCTTGCGTTCGGAGGCATGCGGGTTTTAGGGAGGGGGGTGTGGGGGCCCGAGAGGGGCTACACAAATGCCAGCATTTTGTCTGCAAACCACCACTTGGCTACCCATCTTAATGTTGGCACAGGGAACGTAAATCCATCAGGGAGCTAGGCCCGACACCAGACATCTGGGGGATTGTGAGCTGACTAACTCTGCCACTCTGTCCTTCAGGGAGGCAATGGCCTAGTGGTCTTATTAATCCAGAGACCCAGGTAATGTTCTTGGGACCTGGGCTCGAATCCCACTACGGCAGATGGTGAA